CATCATAGAAAGTCTTGGCAGCCTCTTCTGAATTAAATTCCATACCCACGTATGGCTCGGAAATCCCATCCTCATCGTGAGCCTCGGAATTTTCAACATTATTCATTTCTCCACCTTCACTCCTTTCAGCATCACCATCATCTGCCATTCCACGATGCCCCATTCCTTCCACATCAATAACTTCAACATCCATACTAAACCCACTGTGTGATGCTAAAGAATAGAATACTTTTCTTTTGAGCTAATCGAATAGCAGTGCACCATAACACTGAGAAAATGTAGTTGAATCTGCAAAGAATCCCAACCACAAAAACTAGTTCATAGTTGAGCCATAAGAAAAAAAATATTTACTCATATTATATCTGGGTAACTTTAATTACACAATGTAACTTTTTCCATGAATTGCAGTCTAAAGAATGTAAATTTTGAATAACCAAAATCGCCAAAGCAGCTGTGAATATATCAGAATTTCGGGCTGTTAATATGGATAGGAGGAGTGAAGTCTGTTATTTCCCCTATATTGTGGGTTTTGGCCAATATCGGTGAATATCGAAGAAATCCTAATATTGACCGGAAATATCCACGATAGTGTCGCCCAGAACGCAAAATTGACATGAAAAAGATGAAGGAGAAGAAACCCTTAACGTTTTTGGCGTTTTGGAATTCTAATTAACCAAACTGCAATCCAAAATTATCAAAATTAAGCCCTAATTTCCCCAAAAATTAACAGCAACTAATCGAAAGGAATCAAAACCAATCACTGAGGATACAAAGAACAAAAAGTCTCTGTCACCACTTACACTTCATTCAGCCCCTTTGCAGCTCCTTTTCAGCCCCGTGAAGCATTTGACACCACTTTCAATTCCTCCATCATTTTTTCGACAACCATTTCAGAGCACTACCCCCATTTAAATTATAGGCCTTCAACTTTGAATTGGCACCCCAATAGAGCACAGCCCAGCACAGCAAAGAAATTCTTCTTCACCAGCAAACAATTTCTTGCACTTCAAGTCGACCTACAATCTGTGAGCCTCCTCCTTCTTTCTCTCCGTCTCCCTCTCTCTCCCTCACTCTGTCTTCCTCTCTATCGCTCCCTCAGTCTCTGTTTCACTCTCTCCCCCTCTCCGTCTAACTCTCTCCCCTTCTATGTTAGTGTTCGAACCTCTTCTTCGCCCACCACCCCCCGTTCGAATATGACTTCCAATTTCTATTCCTTTTTTTCTTTTTTTCTTTTTTTTTTTTAAGTTACTACTGTTAATAACTTTTTTTGGCCTGTTATTGTTTGTTATAACAAGTTACATTGGTTAGGACGTTGGGGTCAATTACATTTTGTACCGTTATTTTTCTCATCAATTTTTTATGTGACGGTTACTTAGTCACATGTTGTTATTAATCATCTCATGTTATAATACGTGTATTATAATATGTTATCCGCTCATATTATAACACATAAATTAGAAATACCACGTCACGAAGTAGCCGTCACACTAAAAAAGTTCTTGATAAGGTTACATATGAAAATTTGTTGAATGAAAAGTAACAAAAAATGGATGGATGTTTCGATGATATTTCATTTCATATTATTAATTTTAAATGAAATTTGATGATCGTTTCTTGCGTGTTAAGAATTCTCTATTTGAATTATGATTATATGTTTATATCTATGTTGAGATTTGAGCAAAATGTTTTCAAACCTCGAGCTGAGCAGTAACATGTCCTACGTGCACGCAAACTCTGACACCTTTACTGATGTACTTGTGTCACGCACAAGTGTACGACAAGTTTATCCCCTGCTTTTCTTGTGAGAATGGGTTTCACACAAGTGTGCGACCAACATTTCCCCCGGGTACAAGTTTGGTGTGGTTTTAAGCGTGTTTCTCATTTTAAAGATTGATAGCTATGTTGAACTCATGTTGATTCTATGGTTTTAGCTAAGATGATTGATGACATGATTTTAGGATTCGGTGCCTATATTTAACTTATACGTTCAAGCATGTTTACCTTCAAAAGTAAATTATTGATTTAGCTATATCTTGTGACTTTACTCGTCGTTCTTACTTTCATTTTTAAAAGATATTCGTTTGGATCTTAAACTCGATTGTTGTTGGAAAACATTTTAAAAAGAAACGGTTTCCAACAAAAGGTTTTCCCAAATTTTCTTTTTGCTCCACTCACTAAGTTTAACTCATTTTTCTTGGGGCTCTTTAGTTTTTAGTTTTGACCAAATAGTAGTTCTTGAGGTCAACTCAAACTATGTCGAGACATTCACTTCCATTCATTCTCAATTTACTATTGCTATCATAGGATTTTATTTCTTTATGTTTCTAAACTTCTTATTAAGTGTTGTAACTAAATAGACTATGCAATGATAAGCCTATGTTTATGGTGACTTTTAATTTGTTTAAGAGGTTTGACACCCTTATGAGATTGTTTTTGGATTGTTCAGATGTTGAAGATTGTTCAATTGAAGATTTGAGATTATTATTGTTGTTTTCTTATAGGTGGAAAATTGTGGGATAGTGTCAATTACATGGGATACTCAAGCCACATTGCTCCGGCTATGTGATATCTAGCATCGCTTATTTCATTAGCATTGCTTCATACAAATGGATGTGTTACTCTCCATGATTCAACTTTCTTCATCTACCACATAGAGATTAATGACTTGATATTCATGAAATATTATGTCATTTCTTGATTGCATGCTAATGAAATTGTGCATGGTACAACAAGTAACGGAAATACGTCTTTGTTTTCTAATTGGATAATTCATGTACATGTCGAATAACTTGATTTTTAAAATTAAATTTTCAAGAAATGAAAATTAACAATTATTTCATTGAATACATCAAAACTAAATGTCAGGACAAGAATTCAAGTTCCATTGTAATGGGTTATCGAGTTAGCTTTCATAGTTTTCATTTTGATTATGCTAGTGGAGAGTGATATTATGATGT